TTGTTTTTTAAGGTATTGTTTTCTTCAGTATTTTTTATGCCTCCTTTACCAAGCTGTTGACTCTTTTTGTCTTTTCTTTTTTCTTTTTAGACAATTGGGGTTAAGTGACTTGACCAGCTGTCGCATAGCTAGTTAAGTGTCTAAGGTCAGACTTGATCCACAAATCCTTCTGACGTCAGGGCTGGTGCTTTATCTTGTTGACTCTTTTCTCATGATTTTCTTGCTTTACTCTAATTTCTTTTCCCAGTTTTTCCTCTACTTCTCTTATTTGATTTTAAAAATCCTTTTTAGGTCTTCTAGGACCTGAGTCCAGTTCACATTTTTTCTTTGAGGTTTTACATGTAGCTACTTTGATTTCATTGAGTTCTTCTGATATTTCAGTCTTTCCTTTCACCACAAGTAACTTTCTATGGTTAGGTTCTTTTTGTTGTTGTTTCCTCACTTTATTTAGCCTATTTCTTGATTTTTAACTTTATGTTAAATTTGGGCTCTCCTCCTGGCATGGAGGGGGTGCTATCCCAAACTTCAGGTTTTTCATGCTGCTATTTCCAGAGCTAGTTCCGGGGGGTGGTGGTGTAGGGGTGGGGGAATCTGCAAGTTTTCAATTCTTCCTAGGTGGTGTGATCTAAGAAGAGGTGTGGTTACTGCTTTCTTGGCCTGTGCACTAGTCTGTGAGTGACCATAAGCACTCTTTTTTTCCCCCTGGAGCTGTGACCAGGTCTCTGCTCCTGCAGTGCCAGCAAAGGGTCCCCTGTAATTTCCTTATGACCGGTTGCCTGACCCCCTTATCTTCTGTCTGCTGAGAGCTCTAATAGTCGCAGTGCTGATTCAGTCACCTCCAAAGCCTGCTTCTGGCTTGCTGAGGAATGGCATGTGCTGGACTGTGCTCCATTCTCATGCCACTGAGAGAGACCTCTCCTGCTATTTATCATTTTTAATGAAAGATTCATTTATTCCTGTGTTTTCTAGTGTATTTAACAAAAAGGGGTGTTTCTGTCAAAAACTTTTTCTGTATCTACTGATATAATCATAAGAATTTTTAAAAATTGTTGTTAAGTTTATTATGGTTAAGTTTATACTTTTCCTGATATTAAACCAACTCTGCATTCTTTGTATAAATTCAGCCTACTTATAGTGTGTAATCTTTTTGATATGTTGTTTTAGCCTCTTTGTTAATATTTCATTTAAAATTTTTGTGCATCATGTTTGTTAGGGCCATTGGCAAATAGTTTTATTTAAATTTACTCTTGTTTCTGTATCAAATCCGTATCTATGTTATACAGTGAATTTGGTAAAAATTCCTTGTTGTTTTGCAAAAAAGTCATGAAATATTGGAATTAATTGATTCTGGAGTGAATCTAAGGCTTCTTCATTTCTTTTCCCCCTCAGAAATTTGGTTATTTTAATTTTTCATGTTATCCTAATTTGGATTTTTAAAATATTATTTTTCATTTATTCATAAAAATTAATAAAATATATTTATAAAAATTTTAGTTCCAAATTCTTTTCTTTCCTCTTGCCCATCCCCCATTTTGAGTTTACATGGGGCTTTACATTTTGTTTAGTTTGGTTTTCTAATATTTTTAATTGCATTCCCATTTCATTTTTCTGTTCTTTCTCTTTTGTTAAGAAAAGTGTTTTTAGATATACATTGTTCCTAAAGATTTTGGGTGTTTTTTTTTTTAGTTTTTTTTCTGGAAGCAGTCAGGATTAAGTGGACTGGCCCAGGTTCACATAGCTAGGAAGTGTCTAGGGCTAGGTTTGAATTCAGGTTCTCCTGACTCCAAGTTTGGTGCTCTATCCATTGTACCACCTGGCTGCCCCAGGGTTTTTATTTTTAAATTAAAGTTTTATTGTGTTTTAAAATATGAAAATATTCTTAGTTTGCCAGTGATACAAACTAGATAGTAGTTGCCAACCCTTGTTGTAAGACATGATCAAATTTATTTTTTTAAGAAGCTATGCATTTTTGGGCAGCTTGGTGGCAAAGGGGATAATGCTGGACCTGGACTCATCTTCCTAAGTTCAAATCTAGCCTAACACACTTACCAGCTGTGTGCCCCTGGGTAAGTTAATTCTGTTTGCCTAAATTTTCTCATTTGTAAAATGAGCTGGAGAAGGAAATGGCAACCAGTATCTTTACCAAGAAAATCCCAAATGAGATCTCAAAGAGTTGGACGTAACTAAAAAATGACTGAACAACAACAAAAAATTGCATTTTAAAGGTAGCTATGTGGTTCTGTGAATAGAGCATTGGGCTTACAGTCAAGAAGTCCTGAGTTCAGATCACGTATTAGATCAGTGACTCTGAGCAAAATCAGTTAAGATCTATTTATCTTTGTTTCTTTAACCCTAAAATTAGGATAATAACAGCATGTACCTATCTCAAAGGTTTGTTATGATGATTGAATGAGGTAAAATTTGTAAAGTGTTTAACTCAGTGCCTGGATCATAGACACCATATAATTGTTGATCTGTTTCCTGTGAATAGCTAAAAAATATGCATATTTCTGTTTCCATTCATTAATCTCCTAAGGTCTGTTTTATCTAATTTTTCTAAAATTCTATGCCAGTCATTAACTTTTAGTTTGTTCCCCTCTCCCTCCTCTTCCCCCTGTAGTTTTAAAACAAGCATTTCCATAACACAGTAAAATTTAAAAAAAGATTGTACATGGAACTGCAAATCTACTATGCATAATTTGTATTTCTTTCAAATATACAAAATTATCATGTAAATTTTTTCTCCTTCCCTCCACCATGATGGCTACCATTAAATACAAATAGGTATACACATGTAAAATTATTCTATATATACACTTCTATTTAGACTTTCTTATAAAATTTCTGACCTACTCTGCCATCTTCCCAGAATGCAACATTACCCCTCCCTGACTCTCCTTAGCCACATCAGCTAGATTTGACAACACCAACTAGTTCCAAAACTAAAACAGGCTTGTATTACAAACAGTAGGAAGCATGTATTTAGCCACCTCTTACTGCTGTGGCCATCAGGTTAGCTGTGGAAAACCAGCTCAAGAGCCACTAAAAACTAATTAAGTCCATTTTTCTCCCTATTCTATTCAGTATTAATTATTTCCAATAGTCTTACAGTATTAATGTGGCTGTACAGGCATGGACAATAGAGATGCCTAAGTGGTTTAATGGAAAGAGTCAGAAGACCTCGGTTTCAATCCTAAATCTGTTATTTTTACTACCTGTGTAGTCTCAGGCAAATCATTTCTTCTCTCTAGGCCTCAGTTTCACCTACAAAAACAGGAGAGCTGGAATGTAAAGATCTTTATGTTTCAAGTATGTTTCTTATAAATAATATATTGTTGGATTTTGTGTTGTAATCCATTTTGTTAACTTTTTCATTTTATGAGTGAGTTTATCCCATTCACATTCACAGTTAAGATAGTTAATTGTTTCTTTTCCTCCATCCTATTCTCTTATCCTTTTTCTTTTGTATACTCACCTGTCTTGTTTATTTCTAGTTAATAACTCTTTCTTTTTTCCCACTTTTATACTTTTCACTATCTCCTCTCCAAACTTAGTCTGTTTTGCTTAAATAATATTTGTTATAAGGAGAGTGCTTTGTAACCCTTAAAACATCACATAAATGGGACCCTTTAAAGAGCCTTTAGGGTAAGCACATTCTTAATATGTGTGAGTAAATTAATTAAAAGCCACAAATACTTTAATCATTATCTATTTTAGGGAAAGACCACTTGGATAGTTTAGTGAGTGAGGAACAAGAAGACTACTCTCAAATTTTTATCCTAAAAATACTGCATGAAAATTGTTTTAGTCGCTTTTTCAAAAATGTTTGACCTTCCAGAAACACAGGAGGTAGAGGTGGTACACATAAAGAAGTCAAAGGATTTAGTGCTGAAAAGGACCTTAGATTTTGATTCCAACTCTCCTGTTTCATAGGTGAAACTGAGGCCTAGGGAGATGAAATGATTTGCCTGAGGCTATACAGGTAGCCACAGATTTCAGGCATATGGGAACTACTTTTCTAAAAGTGTTTAACACACAATTTTGGTGGCTTCTGAATATCAGAAAAGCAGCTTTATCACAGTGGAGAGACACAGAAGAGGGGCAGTTCCACCAGCAGGTGACTTATGGCACGATCTGTTCCTTAAAGGGACCAAGGACATTAGGCTTTGAAGCCCAGAGTTCTCAGTTACCGAGGGCATGTAAGTTTTCAATTTAATGTGCCTCACTTCCAGGTGTCTGTAATTTGTGCCCATTCTTCCCCATTGGATGGTATGTGCATTGGTGGGAGAGTGTGACCCAGTATACCAGGTTTTTGAGTGGACTGTTATATTATGATTATTACCACTTTGTGTTCTGGTAGTATTTCATATTTATGAGTTAAGGCTGTGAGCTTGGCTGATTTATTTAAATGGGAAGCACACTGATCAGTACTCATGAACTAGAGTTGTAAATAGTAGATGTATATTTCCCCCATACCAGGGTTAGCCCTTGCATTATGAGAGCAGCATAATCTCTCTGTCTTTGAGGAACTCTAATCTGCTAATCTGGGTACAGGTGGGATGAGCCTTAATCTAGGAAGAGAAAGAGCCTTAGAGAGAAAAGTTGCCTGGGCAAGTCTGGTGATAATAACAGTTTTACCACAGCAGTAATTATGGCAGGAAGCAATAGACTTTGAGTTATGTTACAATGAAATCAGGCCTATTTTTGAATGTAACTTTTGAAATAACTTCATTGTTTTTTAGCCTTTTTTTTTCAGAGCAAGACTATCAGAATGACTGGCATGAAAAGGCTATATATTGAAGTGACTGTAATAAAGGAAGAACGAATATTTTGGTTATAAAGTCTTTATGCTTTAAAATTATGTATTTCAAATATAAGCAAAATCCTATAATGATTAACATTTTAAAATGTTTTAAATATTATGATAATTAGATATTTTCTGGTGTTATGAAGTGACCTTTTCTATAATTTGTTTTATATTCTGACTTTTTCTTCTATAGGAAAAGGAAGAATTAATTGAAGAGTGGCAGCCAGAACCTCTTGTTCCTCCTGTTTCCAAAGACCATCCTGCTCTTAACTACAACATTGTTTCAGGGTAAGTATAGTTTGCCTACTCTAGAGAATTTAAAAATCTCCAGTTTAGTTGCTGTATTTGTTGGAACTTATGATGTTCCTTTCCTATCTAGAAATTCAACTGAAATGTTTTTATTAGTTAGCTTCTGCAAAGGAGTATCTTTGTTTTGTTTTGTTTATCATCTGCTATCACAGACTCCTTTGGTATAATTCTTGTAGCATAGAAGTTGACAGAATCACAGATTTTCTCAGGTGTTTTTGTAGAATGGATGGAGGATTAAAAAAAAAAAGGAAGCAGAAGTAAGGACTAGGAAAGTTAAGTTAGGTCCTGGGATCTGGATTGTAGGATGTGTAAATAGGATGTGGCAGCTTGACATATTATCAACTCATATGGACATGCATTTTGAAAAAGAAGCAACTGAAGTATGGAAGTTATAAACTGATATTAATTTGTGGAAAAAGTAGTTGGGAGAAAAAATCTTTACACTCAAAAAAAATCTTTACATTTATATAAAAAATTTTGAATCGTTTTTCTCAATCCAGTTAAAGGTGTTAAGATGTTCAGATACCACTTTTTTACTACTTAGCCCCCTGAAGTTACATTTGGTTGTCGTGTCTCTTTCCATATGAAAAATATCTAGTTACTCCATGGATATTATTATTTTGATAAGAGTCTTAGAAGGAACTTGAGAAAAAAACGAATAAAAAAGCAAAAGGCTCTTGGAAAATAAAAAGCTTCTACTGTTGCAGCTGTATTTAGATATGTACTATTTTTTCTGTAATATTTTCCCTCAATTTTCCACTTGCTTTCTGAATTCCCTGAAATGAAATTGCCCATTTTAGGAAATGGAATCTATCCTGCCCCTCTTCCTTTGACTTTTCTTAACTTTTTATTTATTTATTTTTTTGATCAATTTTTTGCTTTTAAATACAAAATAAGAAAAAAAATTGTCACATACACAGCAGACCATAAGAAAGAACTCATTTTATAAAACAATAAATTTCCATCTCAAGGAAACCTATCTAATAAATAAAATACACATTGTTTTCAAAGCTGCCCAGTTTTTGTTTGCTTCTTGTTGGTTTTCTTTTGTTCTCTGCTGTATACCTTTTACTTATTTTTTCACCTTCTTCCCTCCTCACCCCCAAAGAAGACTGCAATTAAGCATGGATATATATATACTTATACATAGATACCTATAAACATATACATAAATACACATGTACACTCACACATATATTTAAGACCATACAGTGCTTTTTTTTATCATCTGTTTCTCTGAAGGTGAATAGCATCTTCCTTCTTAAATCCAAGTCTTTCCATGTTCTTCTAAATCAGCAGCTCATCTTTCCTACACAGCAATATTTCAACCCAGTCACATGCTATCTGAGAGATTGTCTGTGGAAGTTTTTTTTTCCCAGTTTTCTTCATTCCTTCTGTTCTTGGCTACATAGGTTTTATTTATACAAGAAAATTTTAATTTAAAATAATAAAAATTATCCTTTTTACACTTTAACAATGCTCTCGCCTTATAATATAATGTCTGATACTGCTGACTCTACTCCTTTTACATCTTTTTCCCCCAGTTTCTTTGCAGTTCCTGACCTTTTGTTTTTCCAAATAAACTTTATTATTTTCTCTAACTCAGTAAAATAGTTTTTTAGTAATTTAATTGGGATGACATTGAATAAATAGATTGGTAAGGTAAAATTGTCGTTTAAAAAAATTATATTGGCTTTACCTACCCATGAAAAATAAATATTACTTCAGTTATTTAAATCTGAGTTTATTTGTATAAAAATATTTTAGGTTTATGTTCACGTAGTTCTTGTGTCTTTTGACAGGTATATGCTCAAATAAATATGTTATACTTTTTAGGTATTTTAAATGGTCTATAACAATATTGAATGATGCTGACACATAGTATAGGTTCTCTATTTTTCATTTTTGATTAAATCTATTTTCACTTTAACTTTCAGATCATGATTACTATCCCTGCTTTTTTAATATACTAAATTCTACTTCTGCTCTTTATCTTTGTGTGTGTCTCCCAATTTTATAATGTTTCCTGAAAGCAACAGGTTGTTGAATTCAGATTTTTAATCTGCTATCCATTTCCATTTTATGGTTAAATTTGTCCCAGTCACATTCTAAGCTACAATTACTTGTGTATTTTCCTCCTTCCTGTTTTTTCTTACTATGCTTCTCTCTGTTTATCCTGCCCCTCCTCACTTCTCTGCTTTACTTCTACATGCTACCTTGTCCTCCTATTCCCTAACTTACCTCACTCTTCTAAGAGCCCCTCCCTTGTGCTTCCCTCCACCATATCTCCTTACCCTTTTATTTCTTTCTGAATTTAGGAGACTTTTATACCCTTCTAGATGTGTATGTTGTTCCCTCTTTAACCCAAGCTTCTTCTGTATCAATTTTTCCTTTTATGCTTCATTTGCATGAGATAATTACTCCTTTTTATCTCTTCCTACACAGTTTTAATTTTTTAGAATCATCTGATTATACTTAGCTCCCCTCACGCCTTTCTTTCAAACTACCCAAATAATGATAACAATCATAAGAGTACTGCTAATATTTTTACATATACAAAGTAAATAATTTGACCTTATTGAGTCCCCTATAATTAGTCTTTAATGTTTACCTTATATTTCTCCTGTATGTTATATGTCAAATTTTCCCTTAAGTTCTGGGGGTTTATCACAAAAAACCTTGAAAGTCTTCATTAAATGTCCATTTTTTTTCCATTCAGGATTATACTTAACTTTGCTGGTTAAGTGACCCTTGGTCATAACCCCAGCTCTTTTGCTCTGTGGAATAGAGTATTCCAAGACCTACAGTCCTTCCGGGGTAGTAGCTGCTAGGTCTTATGCAATTCTTCTTCTAGCTCCATGACATTTAAATTGTTTTTTTCTTGTTGCTTCCAATATTTTCTCCTTAATCTGGGAGTTTTGAAACTTGGCTATGATATTCCTGAAAGTTTTCCTCTTGGGATGATCTGTTTCAGGTGATGATTGGTGAATTTTTTTTTCTGTTTTTACTTTGCCTTCTTGTTCTAGAACTTCAGAGCAGTTTTCCTTGATAATTTGTTGTAATATCGTTATCAAGATTCTTTTTTTATCATCATTTTCAGGTAGTCTGACTATTCTTATATTACTTCTCCTTGATCTGTTCTCTAGATCAGTTGTTTTTCTGATGAGATGTTTCACTTCTCTTCTGTTTTTTTCATTCTTTTGATTTTGTTATATTATTTCTTGGTGTCTTAGTCATTAGTTTCTCCTTGTCCAATTCTAGTTTTCAAGGAATTATTTTCTTCCTTAAGTTTTTGATTCTCTGTTTCTAGTTGATTGACTTTTCATAATTTTCTTGATTTTCTTAGATTGTTCTTTTTTTTTTTAGTTTTTCCTCAGTCTCTCTTATTTGATTTTTAAAGTCCTTTTTAAGTTCTTCTAAGAACTTTTTGTTTTTAGTACCATTTCATGTTTCTCATTGAAAAAGGAATGGCTGTTTTAGTTCCATTATCTTTCTCTAAATATGAATCCAGATCTTTCTATATCCATAGTAACTGTCTGTGGTTGGGTTTTTTCTCCTTGCTTACTCATATTGATTGATTGATCGATTGATTGTTTTAAGCAGCTATTAGAGTAATCAGGTTGTAGTCCCAAGGTATGGGGAATGATGCCCCAAGCCTCAGGTCCTTCTTAATATCATTTTCTGAGGTCTTTCTCAGGGCTGAACTTTGGGCTGTCCTCACCATGGCTAGGGTTCCCAGCCACCCTGCCCTACACATGATCTTGCTACCTTTGGTCACTCCTGGTGGCTGCCAACTACAGCTCTCTGTCTCTGCCTCAGAATTGAAATAGGGTACTCTGCCCTCCTTCAAGTGCCCACAGCTGACAAGTGCCCTTCCCCTTGCTACTGCAAGCTCCTTCACCCTGCAACCACAGCCCAGGATGCATCTGGTCAGCACAGCCGTGCTTGGAGACCCTGGACAGTAGAAGGTCTGATCCCCTTCCCCCCCCGCCCCCCACTGTCTGAGAGATGAAAGTTTTTAACTCTGCAGTTGTCTCTTGGTCCAGCTGCCCCCAGAGTTTGTTGTTTGTTGTTTGTTAATTCAGCAGAGTTGGTGTTTGAGTTTCACTCTGGCCAAACCTCCACCCTGGAGGTTAGGTGTTTCCTGGGGTCTTCCCATATTTTCTTAGGAGAACAGCTGCTTTACCCTGTTTTTATTTCTGCTGCTCTGAGGTGATATTCTGGGTTTTTTTGTTTGTTTGTTTTTTGTGGAGGAAATTTGGAGAGCCATCTTCCCAGAATCCTCTCCCTTAACTCTTTATTTTGAAAAGCTACTTAACTCCTAAGAAAGTGGTGCTTCTTTCAAACTTTGTGATATTTCTTCTTGAAGTTGGATTTAAAGCTGATGTAAACAATTTACCCATCTTAATGTACTCTTTATTTACTTTCTTTTTTTCAGAACAGTAAAACATAGGAACATTACCTATATTATACTTAGGAAATAGTAAACTGTTAATTGCTCAAGGCTTGAAGGATGTGTGTGTTTGAAATTTGTAATGACCTTTCAGTGTGATGTTTTGATTGTTAAGATATAGGAAATACTTGAAGTACTTGAAGTACTTATGGTATTGTATTGATGAACAAATGAGATAATTTATATAAAGTGCTTAACAAAACTTAAAGCTCTATGTGAATGTCAGATATTCTTATTTTTGTTACATGGGAGAAATTGAATATCAATATGCAGGTAGAGTGCAGTGGTAAAGGTGATGTCTCTCTAAATTGGGTGATGTTTTGTTTGATATCCCTAATATATGGATTTATATTTTAAAAATTATTTTTCTTTTTTTTTTCTTAGCCCTCCAGGCCACAAAATTGTGGTAAATGGAAAAGAATGCATAAACTTTGCATCATTTAATTTTCTTGGACTCTTGGATAATTCTAGGGTAAAGGTAAGTAATTTAGTGATAACATTGTTGACTTCTAAGATAAGCTACAATTAACATCTCTGGAGTCTCACATTCTTTGTATATAAAATGAAGTGGCTGAACTAAATAGTTGTTTCTGACATATGTTTCAACTCTAAATCTATGATCCTATCATACACTGACCATATGATTAGTCAGTTTTTTTCCAGTTATTTATTTTATGTTTTCTTAGTGCATTATAGTTATTTTACTAAATTTTATCTCATTGGCTTAGTTAGACTCACTATCGAAAAAAAAAAAAGCACTGGATTTGTTGTCAGAGGGCCTGGATTCAAATTCTGGCTCACTTAGTATTTGTATTAGTTACCCTTTCTGGACTTAAATTTCTTCATCTTTAAGGTGCCTAAAGCAAATTGTCTGTAAGTTTCTTTCCATATATAATTTATGAGTAGAGATAAATAATCTGGATTTGGTGGGTACTATGTGCTACACTGGTGGGAGAAGAAGCCAGAGAATTATGTAAATTTGGTCTTAAATAGTTGGCAGTTCTAAATTTTGCTGGGGAGCTATTGTGTTTTTTTCTTAGAATTGAGAGCTTTAATTACTAAGCTCTAAAATTTAACTTTTCTGCATGTTTAGACTTCTGTCCACATTTTGTGCTTTTTCTTATTTCAAACCACAGATAAAATTGGGATGTTGATAATCACATAGTTGTTCATTCAGATTAAATAATAGGAAATATCCATTTTTCTTCATTAAATTTTCTTTAAAAATTTTTTTTTTTAATTATAAAGGAGGCAGCCTTAGCATCTCTAAAAAAATATGGTGTTGGGACTTGTGGACCTAGAGGATTTTATGGCACATTTGGTAAGTATATCTTCCACATTCTTTTTAATTCACTGGTTTGCAAGTTACTATATATTAAGTTAAAACCTTTATACTAAGCTCTCCCAGTATTTTAGGAAAACACCACAGCAACACTCACTGATTATTATTAGATTTCATCTTCGTAAATTGATACTGTGTTACTTTTTTCACTTCTTAGTATTTTTTACAGTTTGATTCTAGAGTGAAGTTAACAGACAAGTATAAAACATTTTATTTGGTTCAAAGTTGACTGTGACTTGAAATGAATGAAGCCATAAACATAAATTTTGATGTGGTAATTGGTCAGATATTTTTAGGGAATTACCATGAAAAGGAGTGTATTCTTTTCCCCTTTCAGAAAGGGTAATCAGGAAACATTAATTTCTTCCTACAATTCCTAGAGACAGGCTCAGAAAATAGTTTTGTAAGCTATTAATTTTTTTTAACCTTTATAAGGCTAACACATAGAAAGAACTTGTACATTAGTTGCTATTACTGTTCTACAGTTATAATCAACTGAACTGGATACACTAAAAAATATGGTGGTGAAAATATTATTTCTCATTATCAGCACATCAGTAGTAAAATTGGTTTTATCTGAGATAGGATATTAAGTGATCAGAAAAGCTTTAGTTTGAAGATTAGAATAATTAGCCAGAGACTATGAAATCTTTAACATTAGAAAATCATCAAATATGAGCTTGATGCTTAAACTTTGTGGCTGAATTTATACACTTTAGATTTGATTTATCAAACTAAAAATCTACAAGTATTAATACTATTGAATTTGCTAAAATGAAATATATTACTTGAAATTAAATTTCTAGACTCTGAGACCTAGATGTCCACCCAACCTATGTATTCCTTTAAGTGTATTAGGAAAAGGAGAAGTGTACTTTGCAGGTGCTCCCGTTTTTCTTATTTCCTTTATTTCTACCCTGAGTGTCTAGATCTTTTTTATATTTTGGGGTGCTATTTTGAAGTATAGATGGGCTTTAAATTAATCAGTAATTATTTATTAAATGCCTGTTGTATGCTTTGGGGATATAAAGACAGATATGAAAAGTACCAGCCTTCAAAAGTACCAACCTTATTTAGTTAGCAGTTTGTGGAGGGATAAAGAAAGTTGCAGAGTAATTGTGCCATATGAAGGCAAGACCAGAGAATTTTAAAGAGTTTAGGAATAGCCTATGTCAGATTTTCTCTTTTGCCTCTAATGCAAACAGAACACATGGAAGTTCTTTTGTTAGAGGACATTTACTAAATATGGACGAGGAGCAGAAAAAGGTGGTAGAATCTTCTGCTACTGCTCCAGCCTATGAAGAAAAATTAGATACTGACTTTCCCAAGGACATGTAGGAAAGTGTGTTTTTCTGTACTTACGCAGGACCTTCTATCCCTCATGAAATTGTAGCACTGATTCTTATGCTAAACTTAGATTTCAGGGTCAAAGTAGACAAAGCCAGGCTCTCAAGTTGATTCTGGCCTTTTTTATTGGTGGACTAAGCTTCTCATAAAAATCAGAGCCACCTCATTTATTTTTTAACATAATTTATTTATTTTGTTGAATATTTCCCAATTGCATTTAAAAGTTCTTTTAACAAACTCATTTTTAAAAATTTTGAGTTCAATTTCTCTCCGTCCTGCTCCTATGCCTTGAGAAGTCAAACAATATGGTATTGGTTATACATGTGAAGTCATGTAAAACATATTTCCGTATTAACCATGTTACAAACACACACACACACACACACACACACACACACACACACACGTAGCAGTTTTCCTAATGAATCCTTTGGAATTGTCTTGGATCATTGCCTTGATCAGAGTCTTTCACAGTTGATCATTGTACAGTATTGCTATTTCTTTGTACATTGTTCTCCCAGTTCTGTTCATTTTACTTGCAGCAATTCATTTAAGACTTCCCACGTTTTTCTGAAATCATCTTGTTTATCATTTCTTGTAGCACAATAGTATTCCATCACAATCATATACTATAACTTGTTCAGCCATTCCCCAGTTGATGAGCATTTCTTCAGTTTCCAATTCTTTGCCACCACAAAAAGAGCTGCTATAAATATTTTTGTAAAAATAGAGCCGCACCATTTAAAGGCAACATTTGATGTCTGATGAACTTACCTTTCTGGGAGAGATCTTTATGGATCTCTTACTTAGGCTTGGTCCATGCCCTGTCAGCTTCTCTGGTCCTGATTCAGCATAATGTAGTAACTGTGCATTTGTACAGTCTATTTGTTACCTATGCCATATTGATTCCTATTTGTGAGCCTTTACTCTGCCTAGTTTACCTTTTTGTTAAGGAATTACTCTCTACCTTCTTTCCTGCTGCTTTCTTTGGCCCATGAGGCCCAATACCTCATGATTAATTCTCACTCCATCCTTACTTCAATTTCCTGTTACCCTCATATCACCTAGTGAAATGGTTTCCCAGTCCTGCTAAAAGGAGCTGAACTTGACAGCTATATTAAATTTAGTTTCTACCTTTGTTCCCTGTATCTATACATGATATCAGCCTAGTTTACTTCCAAATACCTGTAAAAAATGACTCTAAACAAATTCTAGAGCAGCAGAACTCACAAAAAGACAAAGTGAAGCTAATTTCTAGCCCAAGACAACCTGGATGGTTGATTAGAAAGGTCTATTGTGCCAAGCTGGGAGAGAAATGCAGTTCAACGTGGGCGCGCAGGCAAGCACCAGGCCTCAGCGAACATGAAGCAGGCCTCAGGAGACTGAATCACGGGCAGCGTGGCAGTTTCCAGAGATGCCCAAAGGAAAACTCCAAGGAATATTGTAGCCAAATTCCAGAGTTCCCAGGTCAAGGAGAAAGTATTGCAAGCAGCCAGAAACAATTCAAGTTTTGTAGGAACACAATCAGGATAACATAGGATTTAGCAGCTTTTACGTTAAGGGACCGCAGGGCTAGGAATATGATATTCCAGAGGGCAAAGGAGATAGTATTATAGCCAAGAATCAACTGCCTAACTGAGTATAATCCTTCAGGGGAAAAAATGGACATTCAGTGAAATAGAGGACTTTCAAGCATTCTTGATAAGACCAGTGCTGAATAGAATATATGACTTTCAAACACAAGACTCAAGAGAATCATGAAGAGGTAAACAGGAAAGGGAAATCATAAAGGACTTATTAAGGTTGAACTGTTTACATTCCTACATGGAAAGATGATATTTGTAACTCATGAGGCCTTTGTCAGTATTAGGGTAGTTGGAGGGAAAAAATTATATGTATGTATGTAGGTAGGTAGGTAGGTAGAGAGATAGATAGATAGATAGATAGATAGATAGATAGATAGATAGATAGATAGATAGATAGATAGCACAGGGTGAGTTGAAGATGAATGGGTGATATCTGGAGAATAAAATTAAGGGGTGAGAGAGGATTATACTGGGAGAAGGAGAAAGGGAGAGGTAAATTATCTCACATAAAACAGACAAGAAAAGTCTTTTATAGTGGAGGGAGGGTGAGAGGGAATTAGTAAATATTCTCATTGGATTTGGTTAAGGAGGGAATATCATACACTCAATTGGGTATGGAAAGCTATTGTACCCTGTAAGAAAATAGGGGAGAAAGGGTTAAGAGAGCAGGGGAATGATAGGGAAGAGAGCAGTTAGGAGGAGGGGGTAATCAGAAGTAAACACTTCTGAGGAGGGGCAGGGTCAAAAGAGAGAACAGAATAAATAGGGGGCAGGATAGGATGAAGAGAAATATAGTTAGTTTTCCACAACATGACTACTATGGAAATGTTTTGCATGACTACATATGTTTAACTTGTACTGAGTTGCTTGCCTTCTCAACGAAGGTGGGTGGGGGAGGGAGGAAGGGAGAAAATTTGAAACCCAAACTTTTAAAAACAAATGTTAAAAATTGTTTTCACATGCAACTGAGAAATAAGATATGCAGGCAGTGGGGTACATATAGGAAAATAGAAGAGGAAGGGGATAAGAGACTTAGTTTTATCTTGCAAAGAAATATTCAAGCTGTTTTGATTTGACATGATATCACACAGAAATGCAGCATTCCTATAGAAATCTTCTTTCAATAGTTCACATTGCTGATTCTGTTCTTTGTAAAATTTAACAATCTGTTCTTGCAGAGATAAATTTTTGGCTAACACCTGTCCTGCAATAGCCAGTGCACTTTAGAACAATATGGCAAATCCACACTGATCAACTTTAGCATGTTACGAAACTGACAATGCCATGTTGCATTTCCACAAATATAGTTAACAATACTTATAACTTGCTGCAAAATGTCACTTAAAATAGTAGTGTTAGTTTAGAGATTTTGCTGATGCAAGATATAATGAAAAGACATGAGAGCATATGGATCTGTTAATGCTTTTTTTTTAATCTGTGCAGCAAATTCTTCATGTTTTCCTATCATGGAAGGTGCACCATCTATACATATACTCACTAAATTTACAGTCCAGTTTCATGACATTTACCTTGAAAGTTGTTGAAGGTATCTATTCCGTGTTCTATTCACAAGAGTGCTCAAAGCAAGTAATTCTCTGTAGCAAAGAAAATCTTCTGTTATGACCTGAATAAAGTATAAAACCTGTGCCGAGTCAGTAGTATCAGTTGATTAGCGGTAGAATAATGTATATTTTCCTTTTGAAGTATTGCATGAAATTGTTCTGTTAAATTGAAGGCTAATTCATACTGCTGATCAGTTATGGTTCTCCTTGAAAGAGGCAGTTATTTGTACTTTGAAATGTTATCAGGGCCTAAGCATCTTACACCTTTGACAGTGCATTCTTTCACAATTTTTACATCACTGAATGGCTTCTTTCTTTTCTCAAGTACATAAGCTACTTTATAAGTTGTTTCAGTAGCATTATTTCCCGGTCTTATTGCTGTTTGTTGCTTTTGCTTTTCATTTTTTAATTTCTGTAATACAACCTTTCACACCTCTCCCTATAATTGAAAATATGTGTGGTCCTTATGAGTGTTGTAATGCTG